AAACTAGAAAACGAGCTCACTTTTCCTCATTCCATGAAATAGCTTCAAATAGTGTTCGATGATTGACATATCAACGCTCGTTGGTGGACTTTTCTGGAGAGCCAGCAAAGTCTCACCCAGAAACTTAGCTCTGGGCCTAAACGAAGTTGGCGTAGAAAAGACTATATATAGCAAAATTCTTTTTGCCACTTACAAAGCGGAAAATACAGCGGTATTCAGTGCGTTGGTTATCTTCGATAATACTTCGGAAAAGGCAGACCAATGCGATTTACGTAGTGCCTTATAAGAGTCTGCGAATAGATTCATTAGAGTGAAACATCGTATTGGAAATCGAAATTAAAAAAACACTTTTTAATATCACGATATATTGGATATTTGGCGGAGGTGGTGTAGTGACAAGTGGCGCGCTTACCACTCGCGCGGCGCCGGGTTCGAATCCCGGGTCGACACCCGCCCAGGCCAACCAAGCCTTCTACCCTCCGGGGACGGTAAATTGGTACCAGGCATTCAATAAGCCACTACGATTCTGAATGGAAGTAGAATGCGTGCCGCATCCCACAAAGGGATTGATCAACGGCGAAGACTTTATCCCCTTTTATATTGGATATTTAAAGGCAAAAATTGGCCATCACAGATAGTGGATTAGGGGTTCGCATATAGACGGCAAGGCACTGAACTTGATAGTGAAGAAAAAGTAGAAAAACATGCCAACTGCCCTAGATAGAACCCCATTTCGATCCCAGTTTGTACGTGCCCAATTAACTCCTATCTCCCACACTACGCCCTCATCCGCACAGCTGATTCCCCGATAACGACCGTACAAGTGACGACTTTAATGCTTTTTCGTCCTGCAACTTCGTTTTCACTGAAAGGCGGGCCTTGGGGCGGAGTCTGGAGGCGGAGTCACTGGAAAAAAGGAGGCGTCACTGAACCTATATTGCGCTATAGCGCCCCTCCCTTACAATTTTTTGCCGCGAAACCGGTACAAGGTTGTTCGTCGCGGCCACACTACCCTCTCAACACCATACTTTCAAGTTCTATACCTGATCACGCACCGTGCCTTTAAAAGTACTTCTCGTGGCAAAATGGAGTTATTCGTAGTGAGGAAGACCTGTTGTTGCCCAAAAGTATTAGTTCATCCACCTCTCTTTTTCCCCCAGACTAAAGCATATACTGGCTTACTTATACCAGAGCTCTTACTCCCGAACTAAGGCAAAAATCGCCATCCAGGTGGCTCTTAATCACCATGATAGTAAAATATCTCAGTGCGAAATAACGCCAAGAAAGGGAAGTCAGATTGTTGAAAAAAATGAAAGGAAGAGAGAAAACAGGGACTTGAAACTCACACGTCGCCAGCACAACCACTAATTTGTAAGGTGTCCACATTCAATTGCTCTCGCAATTTTTCGAACACTTCGATTATAACGGTCCCTTTTACAATCTAAAATAACCATCGTATTCCACCGAACAACTGGAGCTTCACAGCCACAGTATGTTTTTGATCAAATCAGAAATGAGTACTGTAAAAACAAAGCCTCTAAGAAATCACAATCATTTCGTAGAACGGAGAGGAATCGCCGATTTACTGAAATCGAGATGTTGGATTTTTCTCAGGGTGTAAGGCTCCGCCACTACGCAGCAAAGCAACCACTCAGAGAAAAAGAGATCGCGAGACAGAGATGGATAGGGATCAGGCGCAATGCTGCAGCACCGTGGCGTTTTGTGAAACGAATCTCATCGCTAGGAGCGCAGTTAGCAGTCTCTACTGCAGCTGTGGCAGACGGTGTTGGGCTTAATATGTATGTACCTGTAGAAGGTGCTTTACACATATGAAAACGATATGCCAGCGGTTCTATAGGTAGATATACCAAGGTCATTCATTCTGTCTTAGACTAACGTGGGGTATCTCTTGTTTTCAGGCTCATCTTCCTGTCCTCTCATCTCATCTCTGGCCTCTCGCCCGCGTAGCAGTGTCTTGTCTTCCCGAATATTCGTCCAGTTCTGGAGCCTTAGCCTTGACGTCTTCGGCGCTTTTCTCTCCATCTCTTCATCCTTTGCTAAGTGAATCAGCACCTACGAGATCACATTGGAAACACATAGCCTGGGAAACATAATTGCCGGAGGTGTGTTTAAGAAGGTATCTTCAGTAGGCCGATCGCATAGTCACTGCGCTGAATATCCATCCCTCGGGGTGAATCAGTGTGTACTGTATGAGCTCCAAGGGTCGCTTTCGAAAGTTTCCTCCGTTTCTTATGAAAACTGAGCAAAACTGTTGAACTCACATGAAAATTCAGCAAATGTGCGATAAATACAGCACTATTTTCCAGTTTCTTATCGTCCTGAACTTGAGCATGAGAAATTTCTTCAACGAAACCACGCAGGAATACTTCGACAAAATAAGCAGCTGAAATTGGGTGACACCTATTTTCTTGGCTGCAGAGTAACAGGAAAATGATGCTGGCGTAGTTGGGTAAGGGAACACGGGCCGTTATGGCTTGGCATCGTCTCACCCAATGGTGATAGCTTCCTATTCCAGGCCAAGTTGTTGGAGAGCGAAGACAATCAGCCGGCACGTATCCCCTCCTCTACGTCAGCACCATGAAAGCATCTATGACACATACAGATCTCTTCGCTGGTGAATGAGTGAATCTGGGCCAGAAACAAAGCATATAGCGAGAGAAGTTGGTCCTGCAACCGGTATGGGGCACAGAGAGTCAGACAACGACTTCACATCTAAAAAGGAATATAATTGACTATTGAAAGAGAAATAAGCATAAAATTAGTTATGTTCAATATACCATTCTTTGAATTGTTCTGCCACACTTCAGAAACCGCTTGACAACTCCTTACCAATGTTCCCTCTGATAGCCTGAAAAAAATTCCACGGCAAACTAGATATTAATACTAGATATTATTATAGAATCAGATATTACCAGAAGAACCAATTTTCAAATACCTATTGAGTGTCCCCATAAGTATCCTATCGATCTTCATTTTTGACTCATTGTCACCTCCTTTGGCATCAAGATCCTCAAGTTTCTTATGAGCACCTTTTATGTCAAAAGTGACTACTTTTCCAGTCTTCCTGAAACAACTGCAGTAAGAAAAATTATGTCAAACAGCTTATTCCTGACAGGCTTACTTATTAACCGTGCGACCATAAATATCTTCCTTATAGTCATCTTCACTACCACTTCCGCTTCCATCTTCCTGAAAAAAACATTTCATTCGAAAAGCTTGTTAATAATAAAAAATAATAATGGTAAACTACTAGTAGTGAAACTTCATAGTGACCACCAAACTAAGCGCAAAACATGTGAAAAAGACTTAATTTAAAGCTGGGATTACCGTAACGCAAAGGCCTCTCCTTTTAAGAATTGTCAAGGATATTGTTTCACCTTATCAACAGCTCCTTAGCCCAATCATAGGCTCTGACAGATGGTCACCCTTAATGGCTCAAAATCGCTACAACGCGAAATCTTACTGGAATACCGTCAACTAAAGACATAAAAAACCTCAATAAAAAACTGATAAAGAGATAGCAGTGACCGATACTGATAGAAACTGTTATGAAAACGACATTCTCAAAATAAGAAGGGCATGGTGCAAAGAAGGGAAGTGACAGTAGGCAAAGGCAATGGCACGATGGCTGCGGGCGGGCGGTTCCTGACAACATCACTGCTGGAAGGACTGGCGGGAGCGTTTGGCCAGACGTTCCACCAATGACGCTGGCAGCAACCGCCTGCGCCCAACCATCGTGCTCACTCCCTTTGAAGATGAACACCCTCATACAGGTCACACCACCATTGTGGAATCCACAACGCAGGTACGGGGCCATATTTGGTCGGTGGGAGCAGGAGACAGGCTGGCAGAAAAAAAATTTCCTTCGACTCGCAATGATGAGCTCTGCCCTCTGAAGGCATGAATGGCAATGATACGAGCATTATCGTAGAAGTCACCTCCTTGACGTCTTCCTTGTCATTGCTAGGGTCGAAGGCTTCGTCTTCCACCTCTTCATCGTCGAGCTCCTCTTCTTCTGAAGCGCTCCCTTCGCCAGAATCAGCGTAGGCCTCGTCTTCGTTTTCAGCCTCGTCCTCTTCGGATAGATCGTCTCCTAATATTGCACAAATAACACCTCCATATTTCCCTCAGGTAGTCATTTACCATTAGTTCTCCTATTATTT